CCGGGGCCACACAAGGCCCCCGACGGCCAGGTCGGAGCCACGCGCAGGTCCCTGGACGACCTCTCGGCGCCGCCGCACCACCGCAGCATCCCCAACGGCCTGCACGGTAAGGACGGCAGGGCCTGGCCGCGCGGGTCCCCCGGGCTGGGGCCTCCAGCCCCCGCGCCCATGCGGGGGGCGGGGGGGGGGGCAGCCGTCATCCCGGGTCTGGGCGGTGAGAGGAGGTAGCCTCGGACCTCTCCGCAGTCGGCATCGGACCCAGGCAGTGGGATCCGCCCCAACGCGCGGTGGGGCTCAGGGTGGCGGTGACCCGGTCAAGAGATAGGGAGTGTCTATCCATGCAGCTCAGAATCGGCAGCCAGGACCCACCAGCCCCCAGCAAAATTTGGCTCCTGCGGAGTTGTCAGCTGGGTTAGCGTCCAGCACTCTTCTCCGCGGGTATTCCTGGGGATCCCCGCCGACCCTGGGAAGTTTTGTCTAAGGCCGCGAGGCAGCCGGGCTGGAGGACCCGGGGCTGAGAGCCTGGCTGGTTCGCTGCAAGCCCTGCACTTCCCAGGTCGGAGGACGTTTCTCAAGGGAACTCTTTGCCTTTTTCGTCCGAGTGCCTCAGTTTCTTTATCTGTACAATAGAGATAGTGATGCCAGGCTTAGGGAGAGTTTGTAAACTGTTGAGCACCGTTCAGGAAGTGCCGTGGTCACCTGTGACCAGGGTGTGGGCGGGAGGAGCTTTGGCCTCAGGAACGCTCAGCTACTGTCTTCCACGCCTGGGTGCGCACACACGTTCCCCATGCAGAGGGTGCCCCAAGCCTGGGTCTGGATCCGAGCAGCCTGCACCTGCTTCCCAGACCTGGGCAGTGGCTGTCCTCCGGTTTCTCCGCCTGCCTGCCGGCGGCTGCCTGGCACCCCTCCTGCCCGTGCATGTGTGAGGGGTCCTCCCTGTTCTTCCACATTTTTGGTGGCTGGGCTCCCAGTTCAGGTGGTGATCCTCGATGCTGCCTAAACTATTTGCCTGAAGGTGAAGATTAAACAGCCTTTTCTGGTTCTCTTTAAAGGCGTTCCTAGTTCGGAAAAAATGTATCTAGGCCTTGCATGACTGCTCTTTCCCACAGTGACAACCTGGGCGGAAGAGGGTCGCTTTCTCTTTGGTTTGGTGACTCAGTGCTGCAGCCCTGCTGAGCTGGGGCTGGGGTGGAAGGTGCGCCTATGGGGGTGGGTCAGATGCAGTACTTTTTCCTTTATTTGCTATCCTGGGCCTGTGAGATCAGGGCATGACTGGGTTTGGAGAGAGATTTTGTTACCGATTACCAATCTACCACTCCAGTTTCTCTTTGTAACTCTGTACCCTCCCCCTCCCCCCCAGGTTCCCAAAGGCCAGTGGGAGGTGCTCAAAGTTGGATGGTTTCATTTGTTGGGGAACTGTGCCCTGTGCTTTAGTGAAGAATCCCAGCCCCAGGCTCTCTGGCCTCATCTTCCTGGGGTCTTGCGGGGCTCTGTTTTCTGGGTCTCAGTTTCCCCAAGTGCAATTTGGAGGAGGCGATCGCCCCAGTCCTATGGCTGGGAAATGGAATGCTCTGTTTCTGGTTTAGAGCTGCATCAGCACTGACTCTCAGCCAGGGTGACTCTCCGCAGGGTGTGGAAGTGCTTGGGTGTTGTGTTGTATTTGCAGGGACTGTGCTGTCGGTGTTGGGACAAGGAGACGTGGACGAGTGTCTGGCCCAGTGTTTCAGTCGCAGCGGTGAATAATGAATGCAGGAGCAGAGGGCTGGGCTGCAGCTGGAGTTTTCCACCCCACTGGTGGCTGGGTGGGGCGTCGAGGTGTAGGATTTCCTGCAGAATTCATGTACCCCTAAGTCCCACGGATACTCAGAGCTGGACTACCAGAAATTTTGTGTCAACAAAGCTTTATTATCAGAATGCTCAGTTACCGGTGGGATCGCTGTTCTTTAGTTTTGTCTGTCAAAGTCATGAGTGGCCTTGAGATGTCTTCACAACAAGTGAATAGGATGCCTGGGAACAAGAAAAGACCCTTCTCCTAGAATCTGGGCTTTTCTGCTCTGGCACCCGTAGTTTGGGCTGTGTGAGACCGGTCTTGACAAAAGAAGGGACAGGGAGCCTCTGGGTGGTGGTAAAAATGGAGTCAGGCACTGGACTTGTGCCTATGTACTTGGTCTCAGCTCATCCTCACAGGGACCCTTGCAGGCGGTATTATCTCCATTTTACAGGCAAGCAAGTGGAGGCTCAGAGCAGTTCAGAGAGTTGCCTGGGAAGACAGCTGGGATAAGAAGTGTCTGTCCTGGGCGAGGTCACCGCCGCGGTCGTCTTACCGCTCAGGCCACGTGCTGGTTTGCATCCTTGGCTTGTTATCATTTTGGTTGTAACTATTAATCAGCAGACACTGGTGACGCCCTCTGCTTGAGTCCTGACCCAGGTTTGCCCTCATTCACCCATCCTGGCAAGGGCCGTTTCCTTATTTGTCACCCAGGGAGCAGATGGTTTGATAACCCATTACCCAGAAGAGTCGGCTGTCTTGGGTTCGAATTTCGGCTGCCCCACTGATCTTGGGCAAGTTACTTAACCTCGCCGAGCCTGTCTCTGTGCGTCTTCTGTAAAGTGAAGTGAAGCCCCAAGTGCCCCTTCGTCCCCACGAAGCCGAGTGTGCAGAACCGCACACAGTAGGTCTCCGGGGTGTCAGAATCTGGGTCGTGACTGTTTCTCCCAGGCTTCCAGTGACCCCTGGGGGCTTGCCCGGCAAACTTCGGTTTCTCTTCAAACTGCCTGCTGCCGAGACAGCTCACCTGGCCGTTCACAGCCGAGTGCCTGGCTGCACCTGTTGGGGAGCTGGGCGGCCGGGCGGCCTGTGGCCCTCCCTGGGGAGAAGCGTGGCGCCCCCAGTCGGCCAGTGCCCTGGGAGGACAGAAGATGGCTGTGCTGGGCAGTGGCCCATCAGTATTCCAGGCAGGCCTGGCGGGGGGGCCTGTGCGTACATATGCAAATGACAGGGGTTTGCTCTGCTGGCTGGGCAGGGGCTTCTGGCTCTAGTCTCCTGTGGCCCCCTGAGGCGCAGCAACCCCAAGCACCAGGAAGTCAGCATTTTGCCCTTTAACTGATGTGATTTCCAAGCAAAAGAATTTTCAGCTGTTTCTCTCCTCCACCCTATCTGCCACCTAGCCCCTCCCCCACCTCTACCTCCCTGTCCCTTCACTCTCCGCCCACCCCCCCACCCTGTGGCCCACTCCCCTTTAGCTAACCTAGAGAAACCAGACCTCCGGCAAGCCCCAAACAGGGAGTGGACCCTATTTACTTTGAGAAGTTTGGATTAAAATTTCGAGCTTCTCAAACCGAGACAGGTTTGCCCTCCTGCTTGTGTCTTTGTTGGTTTAAAAGGAAGGCTGGAGCGGGGGTGGTCTGGGCCCTTTCAAAAAAGACAGAGTGCCAGCCCTGAATAGGCCTTTTATGTTTGGCCCTCGCTCAGCCCTCTGGGTAGGACAGGGTAATAGGGCCGCTTTTCCAAAACCCAGCCAGGCAGGAGCAAAGGTCAGTGACAACCGTGGGGCCAGCTAGATAAGCCTTCTCCCTCTCCCCAACCTGACCCTGATGGGATCCGTCAACGGCCTCGGGTGCTGGGCCTCTAAACCAGGGCAGGGCCTGAGTGTGCCCAGTGCCCCACAGTTTACCAGGATGTGTCCAGTGCCCCACAGTTTACCACACAGTGTGCTCAGCACCCCACAGTTTACCACACAGTGTGCTCAGCACCCCACAGTTTACCACAGTGTGCCCAGCACCCCACATTTTACCACAGAGTGTGCCCAGCGCCCCACGGTTTACCACAGAGTGTGCCCAGCGCCCCACGGTTTACCACAGAGTGTGCCCAGCGCCCCACGGTT